GAAATTGGTTGCCTCTGACTGTTGTTATTTCTGAAACAGACGTTTCGGCTAATGCTTAAGCCTTCATCAGTGATATGAAAAACGAAGATCGTTATCAAACTATGGCCAAACAGAAAGATCATTAAAGACCAGAATTGCGGAGCACAAAAAGGCAGTTGCAGGTTTTGACTTAAACTCCAAAGTCGCAAGCCATGTCCACCTTTTCGACCATAACATGGACTTTACAAACGTCAGGGTCATTGGTTTTGAATCCAATTACCACGAGAGACTTTTCCTTGAAGCCTGGCACTCTACTTTGGATCCGAATGCTGGGAACGATCACATCGTACTTCCAGAAGCCTATAAAGACCTCGCGCGAGCATCAAATACATAGTTACGCGCGCAAGCTTCGCGTCACGTTTTTAACTTTAAATAGCGTATGATAACGATCTTCGTTTTTCATATCACTGATGAAGGCTTAAGCATTAGCCGAAACGTCTGTTTCAGAAATAACAACAGTCAGAGGCAACCAATTTCTATAAAACTCATGCAATCTCCTGACTACACTTTTTCCATTTTTAAACATATTGGGAGTCAATAGCTATTTAATACGCAATGGTAAATAAAAATGTTTTAGAGTAGGTTTATACTCTACTTGGTGAAAACCTTGGACAGTTTTCAAAGTCTTTTTCAAACACGATCAGCCGTCGAGAGAATGAGAGTTAAGGGAGAGTGATACGAACAGTTTCAGACGATACTAACCTCCGAACACCCCGGAATACATCAAAATTAAAACTCTATTCCTTTAGTCATTTGTAATTACAATTATTTTGAACGTTGACGAACTGACATGTAAGCGTTGACGAACTAACTTTAGACGTTGACGAATCGACCTCATACGTTGGCGAACTGACGTTGGCGAGCTGACACGTTGGCGAAATAACCGATTACCGACGTGTTAAGTCTCCCTATGTTTATTCCGTAATCGCCTTTGTCGCTCACGGTCGTTTTAACGCTATTTTGGTGACTTGCCTTGTACCGTGTTTTGTGCCTCAAATATAGATATCGTGGGCCGGTCACTTCAACTGGTCCTGAACACCAACCGTCGCCACTCGAAGTTGACCGATCTCCCCCAAACTGGCACAAGAGAGAGCGAATTGCGAACACTTACCCGTTCGAGCAGCAAAACTTTTAAAATTCCGCTGCATCGATCCGAGAGGTGCACCGTTTTATCACCCGTGGTGTCGCGTAATGCTTCCTTTTTTCAGAAATTTTCATTTTTTTTCAATTCATTGGCTGATTGAGGAATGTTCATCCTTTGGGGAGGTTGCCCGGCAGCAGTTGGAATTTGTGTCATTTTATGCTCAATACACTCTCCCAGAAAGATACGTGGCAATTTCTTGGCCACTTCCTGTTTTTCCCCTTCAAACCAGAAACTGTTGTTTCTTTTCATGTGCCCTCATGGCTGTCGTTCTCGACATCTGAGAGCTTCATGCCGCTTTTCGACAAGCAGAGGACTCGCGCAGGCGTCCCATCGGTCGATCTTCCGATGGAGGTATCGCCAGTAATCATCATTCTTTTTCTCCACTCCTGAAGTTGAAATATTGGGTGGAAGTTAAATCCTTTCTAAAAATCTCCCATTATCTGAAATCAAAT